TCTTTTAATTGTGATGATTTTGGCTCACATTTAACAAAAACGTATTTGCCTGTTCTTTTGAATAGGGTTTGTGACATAAATAAATAGTTAAATTAATAGGTTAAATGGGATATCTTCTAGTAAATAAGCTCAACTAAAGCATTATATATCAGTATACACTATTTTACTGTTGTCATATGCTTGCGTTCTCAATGTATTTGACAGCTCAAGCAATATCTTGCAGGTGTCCCCTGCTCCACCAAAAGGAGGCCGCAGACGACGAGGAGCAGATATTGAGCCGGATGAGCGCAGGCGCCGTTTTCTTGAACGGAACAGAGCTGCTGCTTCCCGTTGCCGGCAAAAACGGAAAGTGTGGGTCAGTGCCCTGGAGAAGCGCGCTGAGGAGTTAGCTACTGCTAACGTCACGCTCACTGTGAGTCAGACGGACAGAGTGAAAAGATCCAGGAAATAAAGTGATTTTGATTCATTGTGCATAATGTTGTTGAAATTTTCACTACTGTTTGGGGTCAATAAGGTTTAAAAAAGTACTTTTATTCAACAAGGATGCTTGAAATTGGTTAGAAGTGACAGTAAAGAATTTTACATTCTTAAAAAAAATCTATTTCAAATAAATGCTGTTCTTTTGATTTTTCTATTCATACAAGAATCCTGAAAAAAAGGTATCACGGTTTCCACAACAGCATTAAGCGGCACAACTGTTTTCAACATTGATAATAATAATAATAAATGTTTCTTGAGCACTAAATCAGCATATTAGAATGATTTCTGAAGGATCATGTGACACTGAAGACTGGAGTAATGGCTGCTGAAAATTCAGCTTTGCCATTACAGAAATACATTACATTTTAAAATGTATTCAAATATAAAACAGATATTTTAAATTCTAATTTAATTATACTTTACAATTTCACAGTTGTTACTGTATTTTTGATCAAATAAATGCAGAACTGGTGAGATCTCTTTTAAAAAACATTACAAAATCTTACTAACCCCAAATTGTGGAACAGTATATTTGTATTTTTGATCATGCCGTTGGTTGAGCCAATGTTGCTGTGTCCAGCTGGTCAGACACTTTTTGGGGGAATACACTTATTAATGGCTTTCTTCTTGTTGTCTCTGCATATTAAGCAGACATGGAATATCCAAAAATGACCTTCATGCACTTTGATAAGACCTCCTTGACACAGTCGTGTAAATGTGCTTGACAGAGTGAAGTTTCCCTGTTGAGGACTGAGGTGACACATCTGAAGGAGCTGCTGTTGGACCATAAGGACTGCCCTGTTACTGCCATGCAGAAAAAAGCATATCTCGGTAGATCATCTGTTAATCATCATCATTCTCCTCCCACAGGGCCAACATATTTTCTTTATTTGTCCGAAATGCCTTATACGTAACATTCATCCTTCCCCCGTTTCTCTCCCTTCAGCTGCAGGAGTGGATGAGAGTTCAGTGGCGGCGTTGGTGTTGCCTGTGTCGGTACCGGCTCCGGTGTCGGTTAACGGTCTGAGCGTGCGTGCGGCAGAGGCTGTTGCTGTTTTAGCGGGAATGGGCTCGGGCCAGTGGAGTAACACAGCTGGAGATGCTTCCTCCCAATCGCAGCCCACATCCAGATGATGAGCATGTTGTTCAGCCAATGGGAACTAAATATACTTTCAAAGGAGCGAATCGCCCTTTTCCCCTCAAAACTGTCAGTCCTGGTGTGTTTGTAAATGCTCTCATGTGACAAATGGGAACCAATGTTGCCACGCTCTGACCACACCCTGCTCACCCGTAGCCTATCACAGACCCTCCCCGGGCTAAGTAGTGACATCATAGGACGCCCCTGTCAGACTGCACAGACTAGGAAGCACTGCAGTGGAAATGAAGTCTCTTCTGTCATCTCTATAAAATACACCTTTACATATACATGTATAGATCTTCTCACTAATGCATTGAGTTGATATTTGTCTCGTTTGCAGATATTTGTAATTATTTTGCATTGTATTCAATGGTTTTTCTAATATAATGATTTGTTGCATGATTCTGGCCACATTAGAAAGATGATTACTACACTATGTAGATAAGTTTAACACCTTCTTTCTCAGTCTCTCTAGGTGACGCTATCTCACACATACTCGCTTTTTCCATTTCTCGCTCTTCCTCTCCGTCTTAATTTTATTGTGGTTTCTAAAGTAATTTCTCTCAGGTCTGTGCTTCTGTGGCTGTTTTGGTGAAGATCGTGTCTCTCACATTAGCGTAACCTGGTGGCGCAGAATGGACTCGCAAAAGCTTAAGTATGGAGAGAAAATATATTTTTATATTTGAATATCGTTATTGGTTTGTCTGCATTTTGCTATATATATATATATATATATATTGCAAAAAAATAAGAAATCAGGAAGGCGGCCAACACTTTTTCACACCACTGTATATATATATATATAGGGTATCTGTAGGTAGCGTAACCACGTGGACATGTTTTAGATCAGTAATGATTATGATATGCTCTGCTGAATTATATGTATCTTTAACCAAAATACATAAATCCTTTTGCATTAGAGGTTAGACGCCAAAATTGAAGTGCATCTGGTCTCATAACAGGGAACACGCGCACAACAACTCACGCGTAATGACTTGTGCTTGCGTTTTGTGAATGTACAGTAGTTAACTAACCCGGCTATGAATGTGAAGTCTCGTTTCAAAATGGTTGAAATGCTTTTGAATAAGTGATAGGATGGTGTTATAGAAATAAAACATTATTATTTCTTTGTTGGGGCCCGAAAGACTCACACTTGGCCACCCTGAATGAATTTCATCTGGTGCGCATAACTAACACATAACTTATTGAGTTGTATTCCATTAAACAGTTCATGCCTGATCACTTTTTTAAAAATAGGATAATCTGTGTTAATTTAAGCTTGGCTTTTATATGAAAACTGTTGCTGTTTTTTTTTTAAATTCAGCTTTGAATATCTGTTTTTTTTGTTGTTTTTTTAAATAGAAGCTCATTTCAACATAAAAAAAAATCATGCAGTGATAAATCATGCCTATGATATAAAAGTAAAAAATATGAGATACAGTCATAATTATAAGATACAAAGTCAAAATTAATGCATAAAAAGCCATTGTGACAAAATTGAAACTTAAAAAAATAAAATGTAAAGTTTTTGAATGATGTAATAATGACTTGTAATTTTGACTTTTTGTCTCATAAACATACATTTTAATGTCATTATGACTTTTTATCTCATTATGATTTACCAAAGCATACTTTTTTGTATGTAGAGGAAATTGGCTTTGATAGGTTTTGGACAATGGCATCATATTTCTTCTCATAATGTGTTTTGATTAGATGATGTGTAGATTATCTATTTTTATTTTTTATTTTTTTTAAACATGATCCAATCTGCCATATCAGTTTCTGTCACTGACCTTCCTTGCATCTGGATTTATCCTTTTTGGATGTAGAACGTACTGCTTTCCACGGTGTGTATAACTCACTGATCCCAAACTGTAACGTGTAAGTGAAGCCCTTAAACTAGAGCTGTAAATATGAAATGAGTGTCGGCATACAAACATTGCTTGTTGTATGATATTGACTAACTGAAACAGTCCTTAAGATATGTTATAATTAAACATTGTTGGAACTCTAGCCTCTTGTACATTCAATGAGATGCGTTGAGCTGGTTTTCTGCAATATTTATCATCTTGTTTTGAAGGTGTTCTGTTCCTCTGTGTGTATATAGAGGTGGTACGGTGGGATTTGTGTGCGTAACTGCTCTGTGTATATGGATTAGCTTGAATGAGGTGCATATGCATTGTGTTGTTTTATCAGTGTGAGCAATATATTATAAACAATACAAACCTTGTATATTGCCTGTGTATAAAAATATTTACAATGAAATGTACACAAGTAGGACATGTTCCTTGGATTAAAAATATATTTTTAAAAATGTAACCTAATTTTACAGGAAAATATTGTACAATTGTAACAGTAAGAACCTGTTAATTGGTTAATAAGTACCTTTACTATATACATTAAAAAACTGTAATAAACCTAATGCCCTACTTGTGTAAATCACGTCGAAAGAATAATCGACCCAAAACTCACCCACTTGTTTTGCAAAATCTCTATATAGTTTTTTTTTTTCATCTTTTTGACAGACTTAGTGTGTTGTATGGAAAATAGTTGCTTGAAGCTTCTTCAAAACGTCTCCTTTTGTGTTTCACGAAAAAAACTACATATGGATTTAGAAAGACATAAAGGTGAGTAAATAATGACAGGATTTTAATTTTGGGGGGAAAAAACTACTTTAAAGGGGTCCTATTATGCTCTTTTACAAAGTCTTGATGTTGTTTTGGGGGTGTACTAGAACAGGCTCTCATACTAGGTTGTTCGAAAAACATTATTTGTTTTACATATTTTACATTATTACAACACCTCTCTCTCCAGTCTGGCATGAACAGCTCGAATAGTTTCTGTATCAAATGAAGGCCCGCCTTCTGAAATACAAAATGTGCTGTGATTGGTTAGCTGGGCCAGTGTGTGTTGGGCCCTGTTTTTATACAGTCTATGGTTGGGCCCCTTACCATAGCCGCCTGCTAGCTTCAGTGTAAATATTGCTTTGAGCGCGATTTAAACCCGGATGATTGTAACCACTCTAAATTCGTCTGCCTTGGGAAAGCTAGTGTGTATCCGACAATATGCGTTGTAGTCCAAACGAGTCCGTTGTAATTTTTGAAAAGTGATTTCTGGTAAATAAAATATCTCCTTTTGAAGTGGACTTTGAGCTTTGTAACTTTGCAGATCTTTTTTATGCTCAAACAGCAACATTACAGACTAACTAAAGTTGAAAAAGTGAAAAAGCATAATAGGACCCCTTTGACCATTGAAGTGTTTGAATTTAAGACTGCATTAGATAAAGATTCCCTCTCACCACACCAGAGGGAGCAGCGGCTTCAGAGCACAGGCTCAGGCATCATCCCGAGCGCTGGTCATGTGACTCTTCCCATCGGCTGGGATTTCTCTCTCGGCATGGCGGAGATGATGGAGCTTGGTCTGCTGTCTAATACCATTTGTTTTTCACTGTGAGGAGGACACTGGCATTTTTGTTGTCGGTAAACCGTTCTGCGCAGTTCTCCCCCCCGGTTTTGGCCCATAATGGCGGAGCGCGGTGTGGATATGTCTGCTCTCCCCCAAGAGGTCCGGGAGCAGCTCGCTGAGCTGGACCTGGAGCTGTCGGAGGGTAAGCCTTTAAACAACAACGGCTCTTCCTTCCTTGTTTCAGTGCGTGCATTTATATGCACTGATTGACAGGCTCAGTCTTGCATCCTCAATAAGAGCATCCACACACACAGGTTCCTTGATGATGATGCTTCAATGTCGCCGCCGCCGTCCGCTCGTGGAAACATACTGACCTCTTTTTCTGCATCTCACTAGTTCAGCGTCGCATTTATCCGCATTTTAAACGTATGTTTCGCTTTGTTTTGTTCTTTAATTGTCCTGACATTACTCTAATATGTTTCCTTATTTGCTGTTACATTGCGCAAAACAAAAACACCGAGTCTGTGAAGCGCGCTGGACGTATTTATGTGATTATTTACTGCAGGCCACGGTTATTCTGCATGTGTCTCTTCATACTTCATACAGACTCCATCAACTAAGTAGTATTCAGTGTTAGTTGTATATTTAGTCTTTACTTAATCTGATAATGGAAAAAATATTAAAAATATGCAATACCGTTTACAACACAATAGCTTTTGTAATATTACTACTATATATGGCTTTTATTATAATGGGTACTCTCTTTATGGGTAAAATATAATGGGCAAACTAACATTTATCCTATGGCATGATGATTTATTAATGAGTGTACTGCTTGACACATTGACAGTGCTATTAATAGACCTAAACTAATTTTTCCTGCATAAACAATTAACACCCATATAAGATTCAATGAGAGGTCATATATGGCAAGCCGTTTTAACATTTATTCCTTAGAATGAAAAGATAGCTTTTAAAAATTTCCTTACTGGTACTTATTTTTACTTATTACTTGTAAGTTACCCAATAATGACTAGTATATTTTAATTTCTCTAGTACTTGTGCATTAGATATTACTTATTCCTTTACTAATTTTTCCATTGAATTCCACAAAGGTTTGTCATTTAGATAATAATAAATAGCTATAATGTAATGTTAATGTAGTCTAATCACATAACAGTATATACTTTTCCCATTTTCAGTAGTACTGTTAGGTATTAGGTATTATTTATTGTATTAAATTATTTTTAAGATATAAATTATTATTTATAAATATTTCAATCTTTATGAAATAAATACAGACCATTAAACAGAAATGAACTCTCAATATCCCAACTACAGACCAATATTAAATATTTGCAAGCACTAAAATTAGCAAAATCTGAAATATACTATCCAGTAATTGCTAGTATCTAAAGAACAGTTAACTGCAAATTTGAAGAAAATGCTAGGCACTGTTGAATTGCATTTATACATTAAAATAAGTATTAGTAACATTGGTTCTATGGAATAAATGTTCAAACAGCTTGCCACAAGACATGTAAATCGCTCACTCAGACAATGGAACTTGGCATGTAGTGGACCGGTGTCGCATGTGAAACTTTTTCCGGGCCTTTGAATATATAGCTTCAATATCATGCCCATAACATATAGGCTATATGCACATGTATAAAATTCACATAAACAAACTATTACTCTTTATTTAGCATTTTAAATGGTATTCAGTATGAACGGTGAGTCTAGACCTCAATTGATCAGAAATACACTGTAGAATTATAACACAAATATGTGTGTGTGTGGTTGTTTACATTTAATGTGCCGTTATTGTCCTTGTGATTTATTGCAGAAGGGGCTCTGTTTGTTTGCGTGTGTGTTTAGTCATCCTTATGTGTTATATAAGCCTTTTAGCAGTGGTGTATGAAAGATTCAGAAGAGCAAAACAATATCTTAAACAGCATTAACGAAATATAAAAAGAGATTCTCATTTATCTCTGCACCAGAGAATCGTTTGAAATATCAGCTGATCTGCCATCAGTGCAGCCTGCACTCATTCGCAGTATGTCTCCCACACAGCAAATCAAGAGAGCACCTGGAGGCAGATTACAAATGATGGGCTAGTTTGCTTTTGGCTTCACTTACTATTGTTGCGTGTTTTTGGATTTTATGACGGTTGCGTACATCATCTTGTGTCCTTGCTGGTGCAGTTTTGCAAACACACACATGCTTATCTGTTTCTGTCTTTTATGTGTTTTTAATTTCCCAGAGGTTGGCTTCCTGAAGTATGCATTATATAGCCTATATATGTTTATGCATATCTGTTTCTCAAAGCCCACAATGCAGTCCTGGCACGATTCACAGTCCCCACCTACAGTCCTCACTTTTTGGCTCTTAGACAGGCGATGCCTACTGCAACCTTAAAAATACAGTCAAAACTGACTAAGTAGCGAGGTTTGCTTTAGAATAATGTTTGTCATGAATATGAGCATATGTTTAGCATCACACCCATATCGTCTTTCCTTTGCACTAATGACTGTATAGATGACAGCACAAAGAAAAGGTCACAATGAAAGACTCTTTCAATCTTTGAAGGACCAGTGGGAGTATGGCTGCTTCCAGCTCACTGCTCAAAGACCCTGCTTTTATGATTTTTGTTTGGGTTCAGACATAGTAGTAGTGTAGTTATGGCCATAGGTTTGACAACAATAGTTTATAGAGCTGCTGTTATTTCTAGCCTGCTGAGATAATGTAGGCCTTTTATTGTTTTAATAGCTGAATAATGTGTTATGACAATATTAACACATTTGTATGAATAGTAACAGTTGTCACTATCAAAATAGTGCTGTAAAATATGATGGAATTGGATATGTTACCATGCTAATGGCATGTTTTTTGGACATTGCACCCCACATGTGGCTAAGGATGGTATGAATGATTGATTTATAGAGTATAATTCTCTCTTATACAGTATAATTCTCCCTCTCTAGGGCTGTGCATTTACTTCTTATTTTACCTCTGTAAAGTGACATATTTTAAAGATATTCAATAACAAATGTGAGATTTTTTTTTAGAAATCTATCTTTTGTACAGAAATTTTAATTTTAATTAGGCTTAATATTTTTCAAAATATCCTTACAAATAAAATATACATACATTTATAAAATATGTTTTGCAACATTTTTCCTGGGCCAGCAGAAAAAAAACATGGTTATTATTATTGAGCCCTGTAAATTATACAAATAGTTTTAAATTGTAATAAAAATATCCTTACACATAATATACATATGATAAAAAGTCCTTAAAATAAAATAATAATAAATAAAAATATCCTTGCAAATAATATGTATTAGGGATGTACGATATTATCGGACTGATATCGGAATTGACCGATAATGGCTTTAAATGTAAATATCGGCATCCCCCGATATGAAAAATTATGCCTATATGTCTTGCCGATAAGAGGAATACATTAACTCACATGTGCTCAGGGTGTGCTAGCGATTAGATCACATCAGCAGTGTGACTCATGTTTGAAGCAAAGTTTTGTCGAATGATGATTAGATTCACTAGATGATTGATTAGTTTTGGATCGCTGCATTTAAACTGAGAATACACGTACAGAATAATGCGTTCTGTGTGTGATAGAGTAAACAGTAATAGCACGTGCAGCGGCAGCTGCCCCCGGGTCCTAACACCCGTTCGTTAAGGAGTTTTAATCTGTAGGGGGCGCTGTTGGCCTACTTCTAATAAAATTAAAAGTAAAATAGCCTACACAAATAACATTTAGACTGTGTTTTTGATTAAATAAAGCAGCAATTGATGTCATAAAATAATGAGTATGTTTTGATTTAAAGGTCAGAAGCTGTAGCTTACATGAAAAAAAATCACAAACATTACACTTGTAAATTAAATAATTTTATATATATTGATTTATTCATTAATGTGTAATATGTTTTATTTGTAAAACAAATCATAAGCTTTAAAAGATTTTCAGAATTTTTACAACTCTTTTGCTTTAGACCATCTACAAATGTTAAATCTTAAAATAAAATGTTATGGATAACACTGCATCTTTCTGGGGGGAAAAAATGCAGCGATTGATATATAGTTTATTTATAGTTATTTTCAAAGCTTCAATGTACTGTCAAAAAACCTTCATTATTGTTTATTTAATTCTAAAAAATAAGTTCTTGTTAAAAACTAACCAAAATTAAAAATATTTTGCTTAGAATTTCTGCACAGGAGAGACTTGTTTCCAAACAAAAGGAAATATATCGGTATCGGTATCGGCCAAAATGAGTTGAAAAATATCGGCATATCGGATATTGGCAATAATACAATATCGTGCATCCCTAATATGTATACATTTAAAAAAACATTTAAGAAACATTTCTCTTCATGGGCCAGCAGACAAAACATTCTTTTTGTCAAGCCCTGTAAATTATACAAATACTAGGTTTAAATGTAAATAAAAATATCCTTAAATGTACAGTAACATTTATAAATATGTTGCCAAAAATTGCTACACATTCCCTGTGCCAGTAGAAAAAAATCCTTAATGTTGAACTCTTGTTCTTGTAAATGTTGCATATAATATGCATACGTTTAAAATATGTTGCTAAAATTGCTACATTTCTACTGGGCCAGCTGAAAAAACATTCTTATTGTCGAGTCCTGTAAATTATACAAATATGCTTAATATTTCATTTAAAAAATGAAGAGTTTGGTTCCAAAAAGCGATAAGCGCCATTTAAAAAAAAAATTTGAGTTTCCGCCAAAATTAGTATTGTATCTGGTCGGTATTGAAAATTTACGCAAAATGCGATATCCGCCGAGTTATTCTGTCATGTTTTCTCCCTTTCTTTCCAAACCGCGACAAACGCCAGTCTCCCTTCTCTGCAGAATGCGATATATCCACTCAACCAATCACAGCGCACCATTCCACACACTCTAGACAGTAATGGCGGCGCTTTGAATACACCCGATTAATAATAAATCTCCATCACGTGCTTTCAGATGGATACACAGAGCCATAGATCACTGACAAGCTATGCAATATCGCTTTCATAATCGCAGATGAGTCGCATTCGATTATGAACGCGATATTGCGTAGCTTGTCAGTGTAATTGTTTTTATTAATGCCATTTATGTTTTTGTTAATACAGTGTGTAGCACTAGTCAACTAAATGAATGTAACATGGCAAA